CAGGGGCTTGAGAAAGCCACGGGCCAGTCGTGAATTGCACATGGAGGCAGAATGTCCATTCTCAGTAGAAATGCATAAATGGGAGAGCGCTTTTACCCGGAGCTTTCCTAGCGAGTTCGCCATGTGTGTGCTCACTGGGTGTGCAAAACATGAAAACCATCTCCGTGGGCAGGCATGCAGCTTGCCATGAAAGCTACATGTCAACACATGTGGCATGTAACCTCATGTGAGCGGCGCATGTCCTAATTATAATATAAACTGACTATAAAGAGGGCTTTACAATGTATGTAATTTTTTTCCCCCCGTTTTGTTTTTCTGCAAGGGCTCAAAGCTAGGTATGAGTGTCTTGCCCTGTAATAGTAGTAGTTATTACTTGTCTAATATTCTGATCTATCTTGGTCACTGAGAATTTCTTGTTTTAAGTTATACAACTAGGGGAAACCTTGAAAGCTTTCAGTTTTTAAAATGTGTGTTGGTATCCAGTGTACATACAAGCGCCTCTGCATGCAGGCTGTATGTATATGAAACTTAGTGTGCTCTGACACAGGGAACTTGAGTGTATAAATGTGAGGGTATAAATAAAGGTTTCCCGTGATTACGTGAACCTATTGTTCTGTTGTCCATATGCCTCCCGAGCCTGCTCAGGAGTTTCCTCCTATTGAAAAGACTGTTCCCTGCTCCTCTCTGAATGTCCAAATGTAGCCCAGCTCGGATGCCACCTTCCCCAGTGTGCCTCCCCTGTCTATCCCTTCTGTAAACTCTTGTACCCTCCCAGCCCCTGCCCTTTCAGGCTTCTTGCCACCTTGTCCCTGTGTCACTGTCTTTTCATCCCTGAAGGTAGAACCTCAGCTGTTCAGCACAGTCTCTTAATCTACAAGGTCCAAAGCAGACATTTGTTGAAATATTGGATGAATGGGCAAGGGCTTAGAAAAGCCCTGTAGAAATGCGCGAGCCGGTTCTAGGGCTGACATTGTTCTAGCAATTTGGACAGTGCTAAATTTTCTCTGTCTAAATAGTAAGAATCGAACAGTCCCCATTTTCTTGAGAAGCTGAGTACAAAACCCTTAAGAATTGAAGGGAATCAGATAGGAGTTGCTTGGTTTTCTTACATAAATTGCATGACCTTTCATTCCCATCACTTCACAAACCTGTGCTCAGGAAGTGGCCTCCGTGGAGTAACCAAAAAGTAACCGCTGAGGTTATTTTTATAGGTTCTGATATGGAGTACGCCCTGAGTCCTAATCATTGGAAAGTACAGAGAAAGAGCTCATCAGAGCATAAGCCTCAAGAAATTAAATGAATTGCATAGAACAGAAGGACCATTGTAAGACTGGGAACAGGGGAGGCTACAGTGTACAGTCATAGATGGAACTCTAGGAGATTTGATGGCTTGCGTACCTCTGAGATGCATTGCTAGCCATTGATTTTATTATTATTATTATTATTATTCAACAAATATTTACTGAGTACCTATACTTTAAGTCTGGCAGTCTTCCAGTTGCTGAGGAGACAATGGCAAACAGATGAATTTCCTGACCACAGTAAACACAGATATAAACACTAAGGTGGCAGGAAGTGGTGTATGGCTTCTATATATAAAGCTATCAGGGAAGACCCCTATGATAAGGTCATATCTGAGCTGAGCCTCGAGTGAAAGGGTGATAGGAACATTATGAATGTCCAGAAAAAGAGCCTCCCTGACCAAGGCACAGCATGTGCAAATGGCCTGAGGCAAGAATGTTATTAGGGTGCTTGAGGAAGCATCAGAGACCATCGTAGTCCAAGCAGAGTGGAGAAGGGGTCAGGGCCAGGAGACGCTATGAAGGGGTGGGGTGGGGAGGTCACGTAGGGCTTTTGCAGGACACGGTTAAGATTTGGGATTTTATTCTGAATGAGATGGGAACCTGTTGGAGAGTTTGGGCAATGGACTTGCTGTGATTTGGCTTTCGATTTAAAAGGACCATCTGGCTTCTGTGTGATGAGCAGGTTAGGCGAAGAGTGGTGGCGATGAGCAAGGATGAGACATGGAGGCCAGGTGGGACCATATGGTGACTACCCAGGCGAGAGATGGCAGGTGCCTTGTATCAGGGGACCTGGCTGGGCCTCAGCAGCGGAGGAGGTGAGAAGTAGATGGATCCTGGAGGGATTTTAAGTTAGATCCAAGGTCAAGTTATTCCTTAAGATTTTTACTCCGTAGCTTTCTACCAGGCGGAGATGAAAGAAAACTCCCTTTTCCGGGGGGACTCCATGACATCATATTTCCAGTGGCAATTATCCTCACTCTAACTCTCTAGGGGAACTCATATATTGGGATTAACCTCTGTTCTCAGGGAGGCCTGGGTGACATGCTCTGTGACAGAAGTCAGGTCCCAGGGCTCCAACGCTGCCGTTCCTTCCATTACATTTCACGTTTCTTCTGTGTTTTCTTTTGCATATCTAGTGAAGTTTCAATCTAAAACGCCATATGTAAACATTTTGAGTGTTAGGAAGAATGCTGAGTATTGACTGAATGGCTAGTTAGCCTCATGTAAAGTCATTAGCATCTTATTTTCAAAAGACTAGTACAGTGATATTTTTCAATTCCTTGAATTTTGTAGGCCCCAAAACAGTAATGTGGTAATTCATATTTGAGCAGTTTTTAGAAACACGTTCTATGGGGGAATGCTTATGTTCGATGAGTGATATTTTCTGTGTTGCCTGGTTATTAAATAGGTGTGTTTAAAATTTCAATGTTATTAAAAGCATACCTAAAGATACCACTTGAACTATTTTTAAGAGTGAAAATGGAAGTTTATTGCCAGTCCCGACTATTCATGTATTTATTTATTCTGAAGTAACCAATGATCTATATATATTTTTTTAATTCTGAAAAATTTCTCCATCAGCTAGGCATTTACTCTAGAACATTCACCAGTCCGCTAACAGGCTTTTTTGTCATGATACTGCCATGCTACACGGTGCTTTTTATTGGGACATCAGGGTTCTAAACAGTTCTTTCCTTTCTGTTCTTGAATAACAACTTAAGTATTCTTGGAGAGTCTTAGCTGCTGTTATATTTAGAATGCTAGAGCATGATGCAAATGCCCATATTTTAATCAGAAAATATGGACATTGACATTAAAATGTCTCCCCCCTCACATACTTGTGAGTCATTTTTCCTCCCCAGGAATCTCTTCTGCATGTTTCTGTTAGACCCGTACCTGGCTCAGGTGAATTCTCAGCCTCTTGAGACATTCATTTGTTTCTCTTCCCTATCCTCTTCCCCTGGAAACTCAAATATTGGGTCATCAGGAAAGTCATGACGCATTTTTGCCCTGAAAAACATAGAAAAATACGTCACGACTTTCCCGACGACCCAATAGAATTTAATAAAATTGTGCACCTATTGGCAGTCCCTAAAATGCTTGATATTCTGGCCACGAGGTAGGAGGAATGACAGAATGGGACAGAGGCCCTGCTTCCTGAAGACCTGACTCCTAATAATCCTTTAAGTTAAATGCTCTAAGGCAGCGGTTCTCAACCTTCCTAATGCCGCGACCCCTTAATACAGTTCCTCATGTTGTGGGGACCCCCAACCATAAAATTATTTTCGTTGCTACTCTATAACTGTAATTTTGCTGCTGTTATGAATCGTAATCGTATGAATCTTTTTGTTTTCCGATGGTCTTAGGCGACCCCTGTGAAAGGGTCGTTTGACCCCAAAAGGGGTCGCGACCCACAGGTTGAGGACCGCTGCTAAGGAAACACCTGCCATTAGCCTTGAGAGGCTGAATCACTGCCATCTGGTGACTTCTACCAATGGCTTATTCTTTAAGAAGAAAAAAAAGAGCATTTGTCAAGTGTCGAGAGAGAACTTTTAACCTTTTCTTCTGTCCCATCAAGGATGAGTTCTGTCGCGTGTTTCTAAGGTATATGCCCCTTGAATCACTTTTTTTCATTTCATTCCTCAGCATTGAGCCAATCCTTGACTACAGGAGAATATGGGGGTGGGAGTAGGGAGATGAGAGAGGATAAGACCCAGAAAGCAGCACCTGTTCTCTAGCCAGAGATAGTCCCTCAATGGTACTGACTGGACCACAGATATACTAACACACAGAAAGGGACGGTCCCTGTAAGCATTGTGGTCACCAAGGGCATCCAAGATGGCGCCGTATGTTGGGAACAGTCTCATTGGTTAGATGGTGTCTCAGGCCCTTTCCCGTGAAACCATTTATGTTCACGCACAGGTGTTAAAGAGAACAAGTGATTTTTCCGGTGTTAGAAGGTGCTGTGACAGGTGTGTGTCAGCTCAGCCTAAGTAGGATCATTTGTCCTGCTGAAGTCACTGTTGCTCAACCCTGTTGTGTGGGGTATTAGATTGATCAGAAGTCGGGCGTGCTTAAACCCAGGTTGCGTATTTTAGACATTTTCAAAACATGTAACTGTAGAAACTGGAATGTATTTTCCATTGTGTCTTCTATTTTGCATTGTTCTGTTCCGTTTTCAGTGAGTATACTAAATATGATGAAAGAATATTACTGAAATGGTTATTTGTAGTTTTGTTAAGTTTCAGGGTCCAAAATTTCCTGATCCCATTAACAACTATGTATATATATATATATATATATATATATATATATATATATATATATGCATTGCCTTTTAAAATCACAAATATCTCAAATATTTAAGTTTATGAAACTAATAATTAGCATAAGATATATTTTCTTGTGGAGCCTCAAGACTGTAACCAAACAATTTTGTTTGAAATTATACATGGAAATTTAGTAACATAATACAAAAAGTACAGAAGTTCTCTTTTTATAATGTTTTGACAATAAATTTCATAATCTGCACAGTTAACTTGGTAAGAGCTAATTATTAGAAAAGATTATTGCTACATTATGTATAATAAAAAAAGTATTATGAGAAAAATAAATGTTGAATGGTTTTGCTTAATAAACATTCTTAAAGGAAGAATCTTTATTATCTGAAATTATAATTCACACTCATGTCACAAGTTGGCTTGATCACTGTTTATTGTCAGAGAATTTACAGGAAAAACTGCAGAACATACCAAAAAGAAAAGAAATCTGTGGTTTTCCTATGCAATAAATCGTTTTCCCCAGATATGTAAGTGGCAGTTGACTCTATTCCCATCCTGTGGACAGGAATATGTTGAAGCCAGTGAAGACACAGGATCTTACAAAACTGCTATTAAAAAGGGTGTGTGCTCACCTAAAATGGGCACACACCTTGTTTATATGAGCAAAAGATACTTATTTAGCAAATAACAGCATAACAACAGAACACAGGCGAGCTGATTTGTGTCCTGTACTCTATGTGCCATTTGACATACCTCGTTACCACACTTCAACAAAGGGAGCAGAAAACAGAGACATTGTATCCCATGCAGAGTAAAGATGTGGAATAAAACAACATTGGTGCCTAAAAGCTGCATGCACGTTGTTCAAGTTTTTGTTCACGGATAATTTACGTACCATGTTTTTAAAGTTTTGATAAACCTTTTATCTGGGAACAAGCAAAATTCAACAAAATGCACGATGCGCACTTAGCTCTTCTAAGCAATCTATAAGTGAATCCACAGTTTCTTAACACACTGGGAATTCTCTCGAAGCAACATCATCACCATGTTTTGTTTAAATAAAAAAATGCAACTTATCCTTAAAAGTTACTTTTATTTTTAAATATCCACAGATTTTGCAAAGCAGAACTAAATCAGCTTCTGAATAGGTCATGGATGAAATACACTCTACCTGTTAAACCACCAAAACAAATGTTATGCTTTTACTTTCTAAAATTAAAATCTATAAACGTAATTTCCCCTCTAGCAAAGGAAATTTGATTCTTTTGAAGGAGGAACACGTGTAACTGATAGGAAAGGAAAAAAAAAGAAGGCTACTAATTGCATGGCAGTAATAGTTCACCATTTAGCTCTTATTGGCTGATTTTTAACAATTAAAAAGGCTGATTTTTCTATCTTAGGCCTGTTCTGTTGTTTATTACAGAAAAATTGGCATTCCTAATATATAGACCATGTTTGAGTCCAGTACTGACCTATATTTATACCATGAATAAAGTCTTAATTGTTGCTTCAATGTAAGTCCTATCACAACCATCCTTTATTCAAGAGTAGATATGTAAAACCTCTTTTTTAATCGTAGTAATTTCTGCTGCTGGCACATTATTAACAAAATAACATGTTTTCCACCAATGGGTTCGATGTATAGTGTAGGTCGCAGTGTTTAGAAAGATGACAATGACAGGAAATACACTGACATGTGCACACGAAACGCAGGACAAACAGAGCCCCAGAAACCTGGTGGAAGTTTGAAAGAACTTCCTTGTTTTGAGGCGTGTAGAATAGTCTTTGAGTTTTGTTTGATGATAACGCTGGAGCTCAAGATGGAGCAGGGAGAGGGTGCTGGAACTACTGAATTCTGTGCAGAGAATTGTACCCATGCCCCACTGATGCCCAGCTCTGCAGCCAGCAGGGTCAGCGGGCAGTGCCCTGCTCACACCTGACAGTCACAAGAGACATTTCCCAGCTGGTATTGGAAATTCACTGGGCACCAAATCGACCAAAGGTGCTCGAAGGCAGGAGTCACCAGGCAGCTGAGAAATCCTTGTACCAGCTTCCATTCCTATTCACAGATTTTATCTCTTTAAAATACCTCTAAAAGAAAACTTGCAAAGGACTAAATACATAAATAAATACACACATAAATAAAAATAAAAGAGGGGGAGGCAGAAGTCGGGGAAAAGGTGTTCACGCTTCCCTGAGGCAGGCTCCTGAAAAGCAAGTAGAAACTAGAAAACAGTAGGACAGTGAAACCATCAACATGTGATGGGTGACTTTCATATACCAAACACAAACCCCTTGAACCAAAAGATGTAACTACTAGAAACTGTCCACGGGTCTGACCTGGAGCTGTGCTTTATACACTGTAGCTCTTTGATCAAAATATTGGTCCGAGCCCAGTATTGTGCTGAGACGCATGTGTATAACGCATATATTTTTGCTTCCAGATCTCGCTTGTAAGACATAAATTTTAGTTTTTTCTGCACCAGCAAGATGATTTCTTGACTCCATGGCACTTAGGTGCAGAGCTCACCGTTCTGTTAAGATCAGGCTTTCCCCATCAGTTTCATCTAAAGACAGATGCCTGCTGGTCTGATGGAGCAGAAGGAAATATTATTGTTACCAGGCCTGGGTACCTCTGTTTAACCCAAGCCCCCCCAAGACCTAAGCACACACAGACCGTTTCACTGGCCACGTGACTCAGATCATCTGCACGGTCTATATGATGAACCAATAGCATGATATGGGTGTACAAACAGTGTCTGCCCGTAGACATGAGAACTTTCCAATTTGGTTATCTTCATTGTTCCCATACAAACGTATGGTTAATACTCAAAAGTGTGTTGTTTATTCTCAAAAGCCTTCCAAGACGATCCTTACCTAAAATTTTTAGAAAAATATATTTTCCAAATATCAATTTGCAAATGGCACAATTCTAGTATTAAACCTGCTGAGGTTTACTTTTGTTTTTTCCCAGAAAGACCTAACAAAAGAGAACTGTAGCAACATTTCTTATAATGTATGATTTAGTAACACATTTTTGTGTTACTAAAAAAAAAATCCTCTGAATAACTGGCCTGATCCTAATAATCAATATATGTATCCTCTATTCCACAAAAATTTAGTCACTTTGAATTTTTACGTGCTTTTCTTACCCACCTACGTACTCTCTAAAATTTCACAGCTTAACTAATGTTTTACTTTCCTTACAATCAAGAAGCTTCACTGATGATTTTTCTAATTCAGTTGTTTCTTTAAATTCAAGACATTCGTTCGGTGGATTCCAAATTCCACAACACACACAAGGTCCTGGAGCTCATACTCACTCGTGGCATACTCACTTTCCTTCATCCATGTGTGTGTAAAACATGAAGCAATTTATTTTTAATTGAACCTAATCAGCTCTGAATATAAACCCTCTGCCTGCAGTGTAAACAGATAAATTGGCTTTCAGCAACCAGGTCAGTTATGTGGATGTACATCACACGTGGGCAAAACCCTCTGACCCTGGCCCCCAGGACACTTGCCACTCGCATTTGTCCAGTGTTGCGATGTGACTTCCTACGAGCTTCGCAGGAAGGCACAGAACTCCGGCCATGACAGACACTTTGGGTTTTTCTGCAGTGCACTGAATGGTCAAAATGCATCCTTTCTTTTGCAAAAAGGACATCATAAAGCAAACACATTTCCTGACTTCCGCCGTCATGCCTTGTTCTGCTCACCCTACAAAAGCAGAAACACACATTTGATTAATCTTAATTTTACATTGAACAGTTCTTGGATAACCACCTTTACAATAGAAATGTTTCCCTTAAAGGATCAAGACATTCATACCTAAAAATGAACTGCAAATTCAGCGTCTAACTCTATAAAAAAAAACTCCAAATTCAAACTGAGCTCAATGTTTCAAAGCAGGTTAACCACATATCATATTAGCTGCTGCTTTCAAGGCCAGAACTGAGATCAGACCGTCCCCACTCTATGATACAATTGGAAGATAAAGACACATTACTTCCCAGGGAAGCTTTGTCTGCAGTTTCAAGCTGCAAGTGGGTCAAGTTGCCCAGTGATTCTTTGCGTCTGTCTAATTAATGACTTGCATTTAGTTTGCCTAAGATCTCATGAATATATTCCCCCTTCCAAAAAGAAGAAAGAAAGAAAGAAAGAAAGAAAGAAAGAAAGAAAGAAAGAAAGAAAGACCTAACAACCACACGCACACACCAAAATTACCCCATCAGGTATTCTCATTTCCAGACGTGGGCAGCAAGGATAGCCTTTAAAAAAAAAAAATCTCATAATAATTTTTTAATAAAGAAAAGATTATCTTCCTTCATGTTTATTTGACTGTCTGGAAAATCTATAGTCCAGGAAATAAGGATTTTCTGCCTAAACGTTAAGCATATAAATGGACTGAGGTCACTTTCAAATACTCACCAGTGGGAGAAATGACGGCCTTCTGCAAGCATGTGTTTAAATGGTCAGAAATCACCTTGAAATGTGCAAGTCGTGACCGTTTGCTCTGGGCTCCATGTGAGAACTGCCTGAGAGCTTGGGAGGGAGTCCCTCTCGGGCACCCCTGGACAAGGCCGCTTTGTTTCATTTCTGTGTGTATGTGGTACTATTTAGTTTCGTTTGTCAGCAAATGTCTGTTTACCCGGCTTCCTGTTATTAATTATGGGAAACAGGTTTTCACAAACTATATTAGAGACTCTTTCAACTCTTGTCCACACACTTCAAGGCAAGATTCTGACGAGTCCCTAATGTTTACACAAAGCCGGAAGCTGAGGTAACATACATGGCGGCCTCACATAGCTTCCAACTTCTTATCTCTCGCAGGAAAAAAGCAAAAAAAAAAAAAAAAGGAACCCAGAAATAATGGAAAACAAATCACAGCAACTTCTATTCCTATTCCTAGGCACAGAGGTAACAAAGTTGGAGACTTTGTTCATGGGACCCAGCGATTAATTTACAGATCACAGTATGAATTGTGAACTCAATAGCCCACAGAAATGTTTGAAAAATCAACTCAAATAGTAAAGTGCTAGGAGACAATGGGATATATTCTAATATAAATGTATCCATAAGGCAAAAAAATACTGACCTGATTAGGGGTGTATTACAAAGCTTTTCATGTGGAAACATCTGGTCTGTCCATCTAGCTCTCTGTCTTTGAAATATACTTGCATGCATTAAAATCATAAAGGAGCCCAAACATCTGGAAGTTTTAGAAAAAAAGCAAAATAGTTATGGGGGTGCGGGGGAATCCAGATTAAAAAATGCAGATGTTTAATTGGGCTGTCAGTTACGTTACGAGGAAATAAGGGCAGAAATAACCAGAAGCCACTGGTGGAAAATTAAAATAGTTTCATGAGCCATTGCCAAGCTAAGAGCAATGAAACGGGTAACATAATATGGAGAGGGGGCTTTCTCAACTGGGACCTGAAAATACTACCATGTGCAATTTTGTAAATTAGCCATTTCCAAAAAATCTTTTTCATTAGAGCACAATAAAAGTTTTTCAGGCTCTCCCCCTCCCGCTTTGGTCATTAATGTCGGGCAGTTCCTCCGAGTTTGGCTTTCATCAATGACAAGCTCTCGCCCCATCCTCGGTGCCCCCTTTCTAAGACCCTCTAATGCTGCTGAGTGGCCAGAAATTACAGACGCAGAAAAGCTGACAAATGACGGCCAGGCCCCTCCCCCAGTGCCTCGATAGTCAAAGCCCCTGCCAGACCACGCCCGAAAACAGCAGCCGAGAGACAAAGGCACAAAGATTCCATTTTCTCAGTGAAAATAGATTTCATGTGTAGCACACCAGTGAGAAAAATTGAAAGCTGACACATATGTGCCGTTTTTGAGAGGCAGGGCTGCATATTTCAAGAAGATTGAAATTGCATTTGATTGCATCAAAGCCTAACAAATGTTGTTTAACCTAAAAGTCTTTTCAGTCTGTAAAAAGACATTCAGTGGCAAGACATTTATTTATTTTTTTTAAGCACATGGTTAAAAGGGAGAAAGGCTCTTGAGCTCAGTAGAGACATGCTGATTACATGCCACTGCTTCATAAAGAATTAACACTGGCTCACGCCACAGGGTCTACAAAATAAAGGGGTAACGTTAAAAAAAAATAACCCTATTGAATCAAAGGATTCAGCAAGATAATATTAAATCCTTATGAGTATGTTTCCTATAAAAAGAATCCCCTCCCAGCAGCCCCAGGGTATCATTACTGGAGAGGCAGCGAGTGGCTTATTAGAGAGTCAGACCTTGGCATAAGCCTTGCCAAGCATGCAAGTTTTCACTCGTGAGCTCAGGACCCTTGGCTTCCAGGGACCCAGCTGGAATCTCACAGCGAGGGCCATCTGGTTGGCCTCCGTGCCACGCCAGGCCAGGCTGCGTGTAGGTGCAAAAGCTAGCACTGGGAGACAGAGAGACACCATCGTCTCCTACGGGGGGCTTGCTTTTCCTCCTCCCTAGAGGAATATGTGCCAGGATAACTAGAGATGAAAAGAGAAATGTTTGTGAAAAAGAAGAAGTGAGAAAGTGAATTAGGGAATTAGTTATCTCCAAGTGATACTGGGGTGTTTGATAGAATTTTGTCTCACTCAACTGCCCTCAGCCCTGACCTCCAGTCAATATTTCCATCTCAAATTGAGCCTGTTTACATCCCAATGAATTCAATAGTTCTGTTCTTAGTCGATATATTCAATACTCACAGAATAATTGCAATGGGCTTAATATACGTGGGAAAGTGTTACACCGTGAACAGGTTAAAATGTACTTCATAGTAACATCAGAGGTTAGAGACCAAGAAATTGCCCTGGGAATAATTAATTTTTAAAGATTTACAATAAATTTAAAAAAAAAATTGAGAACACATTTTGTCCACCACTTCCTTTCAAGCTCCTGCACTTTCTAACTTTTTTCACGCAATAGAAATATCAGAGAGAAAAGAAACTACCGAATTACAGCATAGTGTAATGAGGTGGCTGGGAGGAGAATGAATCTGCCTAGAGAACTCTGAGGACCATTAGACGGTGCTACACGAATTCTTCCCCCAACGAGACTCACATTATGATGCATTCTCACTAGCCTTTCCAAGTGAATCAAAATACTGTGCAGCACTTTAAACAAGGTATTTCTAATATTAAGAAAATTTGTGTTTCACTGGAGGTATCAAAAATTACTGTGCTCAAAGCAGTCATCTATTTGCTATCAAAAGGGAGCATTGTTTGGGAACTTGGGACTTTTTTTTTGCATATTCAGCTACTCTTACTTTAGAGAGTGTCTGAGCCTCGGTTTCCCCATCTACCATACGATAGGAAATTGTTTGGGGATCAGTCGACAAAGGGTAGCATTGACTCGGAAATGCTAACATACATGCGTGCGAGGGGGAAGAAGGAATGCGAAACTTCCACTGTATTTTAAAGCTTTAAAGATTCGTATGCGGAGCAATTCAGCCAATAGAGATGGGACATCCCTGGTGAGATCAGTCAAACAACACATCAGCCCAAAGCCACATCATCACCGCAGCACAGCCCGGCTGGTTGGTGCGCTTGTGCACGTTTCAGAAAGGTTCAGCCTTCTGTAACACTAATCTGATACCCTGCGGCTTAAATTTCTTCAGGTATACCTGACGTATTTATTTAGACTAGCTCTTTCTCACCCGCCAGTCACTTTCCTGCTAAGAGGAAGTACACAGAATGGCTGAGTGAGCCAGGGAGAGCTGGAGTGGCTAGGGGTCAGGGGAGGAGGTTTGGCCTGTGGGGTTGCATATCTCTTCAGTGTGCTTCCTGGGGGGGTCCCTAGAACCTCAGCAGGTGCCAGTGGACACGGTGGAGAATTATGGGACGATGACATATGGTTCCATGGAACATACTCAGGAAAATGGCACTTGGCTTTTCCGACGAGAGTAGTGGAAATGTATTCCTGAAGAGAGGGATACATCATGTCCAATCTGAGGTCCACACACTTGTAATTCTAAACGGTCTCTCACAGTGTTGTTTTATTGGGTTGTCGGAACAGTCATGACGTATTTTTTCTCTGTTTTTCATTGCAAAAATGCATCATGACTTTTCCAACAACCCAATAATAAAATACCAGGATTCTATAATTTAATAGTAAAGAGGAAAGAAACACATTTGCCTGTCTTTGTTTAGCCTAATTAGAAGGGAGAAAGCCACATCGTTTAATCACATTCAGTATTTTCTTTTTTGAAAATTCAACTGTTATCATAGACTAGAAGAAGGATAGAAAGATAGCATAGTGTCATTTTAACAGATACATTAGTCTCTTTAGAGAAATTAAATGATAAAAAAACAAAGCAAATATATTTGATATGTGTGGGAATAAAATCTAGATTTATGTAACAGTTGTACTAATATTATTTAATATTTTAAAATCTTTCTGCACATAGGAAATACTTCCAAATGAAAACTAACCCTTATAATTAATTAGCACAGTGGAGGTAGCCAAAATTACTTCTTTTATCTCTTCGTGGGTCTCTGGTTGTTATTTGAGAAGACTTATTTTATGAGGGGGGAACCCCAAACAAATGTTTTCTGGGGCCAAATTAGTAGCCCTAGAAAAGGGAAAATTTGGGATATGAAAAGTGTGCAAACCTCTATGGATGGTTCGATTGGAAAACGTTCCCATATAAGAAGATACAAATCAATTTTAGCTACTTGGCTGAGCAGGCCAGAGTTTCATGTAGTGTCTCTTTCTGTTTTGTACAGGGATCATGGCAAAATTAGCAACAAATCTGTAAAGGAAACGGAAGGCAGTTTGATGGGAGCTCTGATGACAGTCCCACAAAAGTCGAAGAAGTGCGTCTGTCTCCACAGGAGATGATGGTCGTGCCCGACAATGCGGACCTGATTCAGGTGTGTCATTTCGGCCAGCCCCGTTGAAATGCTTTGTTCTTCCCACTGCGTTTCTTCTTTTTTCCCCTCAGTCTTTTTCTTCCTTTTCTTTGTCTCATTGACAGATGTCTTTTATAATTGATGTTGTTTACTGCCCTTTCATCAAATATATGCCACATCACTTAGGCGAACCACCGAGAGGGCATCTAAATACACATTAGGGGACACTGAGCCGGACCATCTGACGATCTCATCAGGGCCCTGAGCAGAAGCGTCTGGTTGCCACTGAGCTCAAGGCTGTATTCAAATTGCAGCTTTCATCACACTCTTTTTAAATATGAAAGTAAACCTTGAAGCCCTTTGAAGGACCCAAGCAAACAACACACATGTGAAAACAGATCCACAAGCCTTTGAAAAACACCCTTACGTCAAATCTGTAAAGACTCTTAGCAGCTTTTCCAGAAAGACCTGCAGGTAAATGACGGCTTTTAATAAGACACATGACAATCTCAATTACGAGAATCATCATTGCGTGTCTTCTGTGCCATTTTATGTTCCCAGCAGGACTTTTTTTTCCTCATCAAGAGCTTCCAGGGATGTCTACTCTTCTCTGTGTGGAAAGCATATTTAAGTGGTCCTGCAAAGCTGCACTAATTTTTTGCAAAGGAAAAAAAAAACAAAAAAACAACTTTGTCAAGTGGTCAGACAGACTGGAACTAGAGGATTATAGGTGAGAGGGATAAAATGAAGGGTTGAAAGCTATCATTTCTATTTCTGTGGTGGCAGCCACATCGGCTGCTGGAGTCGGGCGGTTTCAAGATAGGGGTTCTCCGGGGAGAGGGTGAGTGGGGAAGATACGGTACCTGTGAGGACGCCTTGCTGGGCCCCGTCCCGTGAGTCTCTGCTTTCCCTCCACCACTCCCGTGTCCTCCACTGTCCGTTTGATTCTGTCCCCGTCTTTGACAACCCATAGATACTTTCCTTCCCCCCGTTTGCTCCCTTTCTAAGCCTTTCTATCAAGCTAGTGCCTTGGCCTCTGACGGTAGGTCCATGCTGGGTGCTCCTAGAGAACACTCAGCTTCCTCGCTCAGCCTGAGACTCTGAACATCTTTGAACATGCTGAGGCTGGAGGTTTTCAGAGCTCCCTCCCCTGGAATGGCTTAGGGAATGGACATGCATGTATGGGTGTCTTGGGCAAGCTGGAGACGGACACTTGGAAGGATGAATTATAGTAACAGAACCCCCAATAAAATGATAAGAGATATGGTGCCTGTCTAGCTTATATAGTATTCACTATGGTCGTGGGCGTTTCAGTCTGTTCCTTGGCCTTATCCTTATATTTTCTTTTGTTTAATGCCTGCTACAAAGCACAAGTTCGTTTTCCTACCTAAGCAAATACTTGGTTATGAATATTTTGTTCACGGTTTTTCTTGATCGTCTTGTTTCCGCCGGCCAGAAAAGAACTAATCATCCTTCCCCGTAAGGTCTCCCCATCCCCGCAAAGTGTGCAGTAGCTCTTACTCTGATAGAGTTTACAGCTTAAATGTACTGCGAGGCCCTACGCAGTCAATACTTGGATTTAAACGTTGGCAAGGCCCTGTTAAATTTAAGATGCCATTAAACTACAGGACAGCTCATCTAGTCCATAAATTATTCATGGTTCTGAAAAGACACTTTCGAAGGTAGGCGGGGTTATCCCCGACAGCCAGAGAGGCTGTGCATCGCACACCCCCAGGGGGCGCCACTGGTAGAGGTGAATCAGGTGTGACACGTGCTCTCTGGAATCATGAGTTCACGTGTTCCTTAGTCAGGAATCATAGCTGGGTGTCACAGAACAGGCGTAACGTGCTTGTCCTGACTCCAAGATTCTGTAGCATGGGGGAGAGGGGGCTTCAGATTTGCACGTGTGATTTTGGGCTATTTAGTGACTGCCATTAGCTCAGTGTGAGTCAGTCGGTAGTAACATGCACCTGCTGGAAAAGCCTCGTGTTTTAGTAGCATGGGGTTTCTGATGCCTGCGAGGGGAGGAGTCCTTTGTCATCACAGCTGGGCAAGTGAATCCAGACTTGACCACTACAAGCCGGCCTGGTTTGCAGGTGAACCAAGGCACCCCCTGTTCTGTTCATTAAACAAGTGTCACACACTCAGCATCATAAGTAATCAAGGACCTTAGAAAACCAAAAGATTGTTCAACTGGATTTTTTTCCAATCACCTGTGAATAAATATGGACTTGTTTTGCCAATGAAATATGCCCAAATCACATAGTCTTCAAAATTCCCATGTAGAAACATGCCTCCTTGATTCTAGCTTTGAAACAAATGCTTCTAGAGGTTTGGACAACTTGTAGACTTCTCATAATGCAGCAGGGATGTTGCTGACTGGGTCCCGGAAAACCCTCAGGCACTAATAAGCAAAGACAGCCCTTCGTGCCACTGTCAATGAAGAAACTTGTGTGCAAACACCGCGTGTCCTCTGAATGCATTGGCAGAGCCTTGGTGTTTGCCTCTTGGTTTATAAGACCAGCTTCAGCTGATGAGGTCTATTCTCACTCACAGAGGCTTTGTAAACCCGACTCACAGCTCCGAGAGCTCTTACTCTCTCTGTGTCCCACGCATTGCAGTGATGCCGGCCATCCTCTTCCACAGAAGCAAATGTACCACCCTCCACACCTCAGCGTGAAGACCTGGAGCTCACCGTGTGGGCACCCAAAGCGCTGACACTCATGCCATGTCCCTGGCTCCCAGTGAGGACGGTAGTCTTGTGGTAACAAAACTGGCTCCCTTCCTTCCTGCAATTACCTCCCTCCCTCCAGCCCTGACACCTGGAAGCCACCGCTACGGTAGCGGCCGTGACCTGTGGCAAGAAGCTAAGGACACAGGCCAGAGTCCCGATTGTCCTGAAATTTTCAGGCAGCTCAGGAAGCTTGCATGCTGGAGGACACGCTGTTTCGTACCAAGCCCACCTTGGAACCTGACACAGAAGCATAACTTGTCACAGTCTGAACCACGTGTAGGTGGTGGAGGCCGCCTTCCTCTCACTGATCAATAACTGCCCATTGGGATCAGAGCCCAAGTTTAACCTCTTTGTGAGAGAATTCAACTCGACGCTGTGCGGAGTCACAGTACTCTCCATGGTTTATTTGATGACCTCACGTCCGCCTGCCATCATTTTGTCAAGCAATCACATGATGTGCTCCAATCTGAGTATTTTGGAGAGAACTGATTAATTGGAGTTAGAAATTGAGTCTCAGAGTACCGTGAGAACCATGAGGCTCTGTAGTGGCTTACGGAGTGCCTCAGTTAACCGTGATTTTCAGATACTTGTCGACTTGCTAGAAATCAAGAGACCCCCCCCCAAAAGAAGCGGAGAACTATTCCATGGTGAGCGCACCCAGCTGGAGTTTGGGTTCACAAAATGCCTGAAACAGTTTTGTGTTTTAGAGCTGGAAAAACGTCTATATATTGTTTGTTCGAAGAATCAAAGGGAATGACTACTGAATTAATTTGTTTTTGAAACGGCTACCTATTATTATCTTCATCATACGAGCATTAGTGCTTTTCACTCATAAAATTAAGAACGAAATGGCTTTTAGTAACACCCTACACTTACCTCATTAACCAAAGGCATTACCAGTGATCTCGCAACTCAACTGGTTTCCTCAGAACAAGTTTGGGATTGCTCCAATTCACACAATAGCTCTGCAAACAAGCAATGACATATGACTTTTATTTAGTTTACACATTTTTAAAATTTTCTAATTCTCCTCTTTCCTACACTTCCTCCGAAACATAATTTTTCCTTGTATCTTTTATTTGCCTTAATCTCCAATTTAATATTTCTCTTTGCTTAATTATTTCTCCTGGAATTTTACACTCACAGTGATTAAATCTCTCTCATGATCTAATAGTTGATTTTAAATAATTATGTATGCCTTCTTTTCCAGCAACGGTGTTCTCTGATAAGCCCCTCTGGTGAGAAATGATTTTGCACTGTGTTGTTGACGTATTTTCTGTGATACTGATTCTATATAAGCTTAAACATTTTGTCAGCTTTATTCACCAGTTCCTGTCATAACCGGAAGACACTGTGCCTTCCCGGAGGATTTTCATACTCTAATGTACACCAAGTGTTTAAATAACCATAAAAGCAATATTTGTTTGCATAGTGGTTGGTATGTTTACCTTCTCTGCTCCAGAAAATCTTGCTAAGGCAGCCTGCCTTGGGCTGATACTTGTAACCATTAGCAATTATTGGTTCCAGAAAGATGTTGACGTGAATTTTTCAAAAAAACATTTCAAAATCAGATACAAAATATACAATGTATTCTCTTGGATGGTTTTGGGTCGCCCTTCCCTCCTCCCCTGGCCTTTCTTGTGATATTAACTGTGATTCACTTTTCATCACAGGTCCCCAGTTGTAGGAAGCTCTGCATCAGTCTTGGCTTGTTCCTGGACATTCGTAGAAAGATGAATTATTTTCAGAATCAATAAGCAGAATTATTTTTACTCGATGGCGTTTTTACACATCATTTCTGTTTTGCAGAGGTTTGGGCAAAGTGCCAGTGGTGTACTCTTCACTGCCGAGGAACGCATCACACGACAGAGTCCCGGCCACCATTCGGCAGGTGGGTGCTTTCTTCATGTGACATACCCGTTGAGCTTGGGGGAAGGTACGGGGAGTGCCTGAAATGTACCCCCAGAGAGGTCCCACTCTGTGTTTTACTCATCATGTGCCACAGGTGGGTAGCAGGGGACGCTGGGCACACACTTTTTCCCAGAAGTCCCCCCCCGTTAGTGCCCATAATGGGACAGGCAGAAAAGGAGCTCTGTTTCTACTGACAACAAACCACCCGCTCCAGCCCTTGGAAGGACAGCAACGGACAGCTCAGCGTCAGGCTCTGGTTCTGCTGTTGTCTGTTCGCCTGTTGATAGGTGTTTGGCAGAAATGCCCAGTGGGTTTGGAAGGTTCTGTAGCAGAAATCGTGCCGATTAAGCTTTCTAAACTTTTCTTTCACTTTTTAAATGACTTTTAATTTTCCGAAGAACTCTCCATCAGGAAGTGGACTGTTAGAATTTTGTTATGCTGTGATATAATAAAATGTATCAAGGCAGAGGAAAGGAAAAGAAATAGATGATTTCTGCATAAGACATTTTGCTTCAACTATTCAAATGACTTTACTTATCTTTTCTTATCAAGATTTTCCTACCTAATAGCATACATTTGACAGAATGAAAATGTTCCTTTTGGCTATTAACCATACTGCTGTCAATCACCCCAAACATTTCATCTTGAAGAGAAACTGGAACTAGTCCTTAAGAATAATAAGAATAAAGAGAGAAACGATATTTATAATATTAGGTTCAGTCTTGGCAAAAACCTTTTTAACTCAGTGTCTATTTTTAAAAAAAATTATTTCTCATTTTTCATATTAAAAAGAATAAAAATATAAATGTTTAAGACCTAGAGTTCACTCACTGGATCCCGGAAGCTCTCCCTGGATTGTGACCCAAAGAATGTCTGTCTGTCTGTGACGTACACGTACACGGGGAACCGAGACTGTGTACCAGGCATAGCAGCTGGCTCCTCGTGTCGTTTCTCCAAAGACACAGTAGGTGATCTCCCACATCATGGCTTCCCCTTAAGAATGGAATATAGATGTGTAAAATTACAATCGAAAGCCAAAAGTTGTTAACATTTCACAAGGTTTTCAATAATTTTGAGAGCTACTCAGGAGCGAATTCACTGTGATTTTGCATATGGTTGTGGCATATATCTTATGACTGAGGATTAGCTGCTAAGTTCCTCACAGAGGTCGTGCATGTGTGTGTGCGCATGTGTGTGTGTGTATGTGTGTTCTGCTGAGTCTTACAAAGTACATCCCTCTTCTTTAAGAGAAAAAAATGTGTAAAAAGGAGAAGAAAACTACAACATTCTTGATTTCCAAGATACAGTCACTACTAAACTGCCCATGTCAAGATGTTGGAAGCTAGGCCTGCCACTTTCAGCCAGATGTGTGTGTTTTGGGCACGTTTCTTGAGCACTACATAATCGTAAAGCAACCTAAAATAACCATGGAAGAAAACTAAGGTCTGCTGATAAATACACTTGACTCTTTATGTGGAGTTAACAGAACAACTTACATGGAAACTGAAATCTGTCTGAGCTTTAAGACAGAATCGCAAAGACGTGCCCCTTTGTGGACCACAGACGTTGGCACTGCAAGATCAAAGGGACAATGTGCCCTGCAGTGCGACTACAGACCCAGAAATTTTTGCAGTGTTCCTGTCTCCAAGCTGGAGCTTATGTGTCTTTAATGGCATTTAAATTATAGCCCTTCTGTAGCTATGCAGTCAAAACACCACGTCATCTGAGGAGACGCCATGTTATAATCTGTCAGGATGTCTTATTTAAAAATTCTTCAGTACTGTTCTTGTCCTCAGTTTTCTCTTTCGCTAGAAAAATTGAGCAAATTGTCTTGGAAGCCAGGTTTGTGAGCTGACCTAATCAAGCTGGACAAAAGGCATGCTTTGGTTGATATTATTTTAACTTAATTTGAACCAATTTATAGATTTTTTTTCTTTGTTTTTCCCCCTCACTATCCCCTCTACATTTTTTGTTTGTGTTTAGGGTTTTCACCTTTATTATCTATGATATGACACATGGTATAGTATAGACACGTATTAAGTGAAAATCAAGAATGTGTATCCAGTGGAGAATTATAGGTTAATTGGTTTTCTCAAAGCAAAGAATTTTGTGTTAAACCGATAAATAGTAGAGTTGACTATTATATGTAAGTGAAAGGAGTTCTCTGGATTCTTCTATAACACACAATATAGATGGTGTGTTTCAAGTGTTGCCAGAGAGAAAAGTTTTGACTTGAATACGTTCTTTTAACAGAATGTTTATTATAATGACTTAATCAAAACTTTCTAAAAATTGGCACTTTACTTACAATATTCATGCAGATATAAAAGTGAGATGTTAGATTTCTACAGAAGTAGTGAGCTTTAGATACGACCAGGAATATGGAATCAGTTATTTTACACTTGCATGCTACGCAATATTATGAATATTGATAAAGAGTTATCATAGGTGTTTAAAAACACCAAAATATATTTTTTCTAGGAGCATATGTTAGATTAATAATTGGCAGGTAACTTTGCTTTCATGCTTCAAAACGATAACATGGGACTTCATGCATCTTTAAGTATATTTAAATAATCTGAAAATATAATGAGTTTTTAAATCATATGAAGATTGAGCTGCAAGGTGCTTGTTGAGAATAAGTGATTTTATTGTGCCCAAGGGAGGCATTTATGTTTATTTGGTAATTAAAGTGACAGTATCTTAGATGAGCTTCAACTGAGAGAGTTTATACTACATAAAATATATCTGTCTGTTTTAGAAAAAGCCAAGCATTACCAATAATTGGTTCTTAAATTTCCAAGTGAGTTTGACCAACGTTCACTCCTAATATTTTTGTGTAGAAGATCACACCTGTACGCTACGTGCAGGAAGGAGGGGATTCACGGACATGCAGTAGGCTAGAGGAGTGATGTCTGTTCCCGGAAATGACAGGGGTCTTTCAAATGTGTCACCTGCAGAAGAGAGTTACTGAAAATGGGGACAATATGGCGCCTTTTCATGGAACCCTGATCGGATGTCTCCACACTTAGCTGACATTTGGAAGGAACTCCTGACTGTCAGAATTCGATGTAGCTAAGTGGGGTCGTAGAACGCAGTATCTTGATTTGAAATCATGGTTTTTTTGTATTGGACGCAAAAAACCCTAGTGATTCTTAGGGGCAAAAGAATAGAGTAGAAGGAAAAATTCTCCGTGTGCAGAAAACAGTTGACTTGATATCTCCATTTTCTTCTCCCCGCAACCCCGGGATATAGTCTAGAGTTATTTCTGGGACTCTATTATTTGATAAATACCTAAGATTATGTGCAATGGAATGAACACGTGTAAACCTACTATCCAATGAAGAACTAGAACCGCACCCAGATGATGCTCTGCCCCGATCGCCCCCATCCCAAGAAGGGCCCTTATCGAGGCTGCCAGGCACAGTTGTGCAAGGTGTGCACTTTACAACTTTAAGATCTGCCTGCCCTTGAAGCCAGCTGGGCCCGGTCTGAATAATGCCCTGGAAGTGTGCACTGCATAACCCGTGCAGATTTTCACAGTGGCTTTGCCCCTTTCAGGAACTGCTGAGGGACTGATGACCTTTCATGTATGGGATAGCTCTGCTGCTTTTGAGCATTATGAAAATAATAACATTTCTGTATAATCTTATAGAACTAGCTTTGTTCACTCAAAATTGTGTTTCTAAGCGTCATTTAGATGGTCGCATGTATGTATATGTTTATTTACTTCACTGCAACATAGTATTTCATTATGTAAATATTCTAATTTTCTTTTTCTAGTCTTTTCTTTGGCATTTGGGTTGTTACTGCTTTGCAATCACACACACTGTTGCTGTGAATGTCCTTGTGTGTGTCTTTTGATACATGTGGGCTAGCAATGCCCTAACATATGTACTAGAGTAGGAATTTCTGAGTCTTATGGTTTGTGGGTGGATTAAGGGCATATATGTGAAAAGTAAAACTTAAGAGCTCTAATGAGTGTATATAAAGAATATTAGCCTATATAAGGCTTTGTTTAGAAAACCCAAAAAGGTTTCAATACTGGCAGCATTTGTGTAATACTAGTTTGTGCATAAGCGTGAGCTCCATTTATAAGGAGCTCTTTGGGTGGTCCCATAAAATGCCTCCCTTTCTGAATCAGTCATTCTATCCAAATCCATTAGCTGGAAGAGGAAGCAAAGCCAGAAACCCTTTTGGTTATCTGAACATGGATTAAATGCATTTATTTTAAACCTGGGAAATAGGGATTCAAATGACAGGATTCAGCCAAAGCAGAAATGGCCGATTTTATTCCCTTTCCCATACCCTGTGCAAGTTATTTTTGGAGACACAGAATACATACACCCAAAATGGAAGGTTGTGATTACAGCTCTCAGGATAGGGAAGAAGAAAAACGTACAGAAAAGTACTAGATAGGAAGATGTTTGGAAGGTGTAAAGGACACGCGATACAAACAACCCATTTTTAAGTGTCTTCAGGTACATTCATTAGTATTTGTTGTCCGATTCAGAAAGGTTTCCGACTCAATTTTCTTTGTGCATTTTACAAGCTGTTACTGGAAATGACATGTTAATTTCTTTACTGGCCTGTGCTGTAGATGCTATTGACCATGAGAATTACATACAGCTGTGTGTGTGTGTGGGGGGGGGGAACACAATCTCCAGTTAAAAATAAGGGGTACACGTGGGTTGCCCAACATGTACGTCTCGAGACATGGAATCCTGTGCAAAGACTGGTGAATCGCGGTGCGTGAAGGGTGATCTCTGAGCTTTCCACACAGGTGGCTGCCGCACAGCATAACCATGAAAGAAGAAGAGGGGGAAAGAAAGAGAATTAAACACAAGTGGGGGGCTCTCTATAAACAGCTTTTATTATTCCTTAGTTTTTTGACCACTGAATGAACCATCAAAAGAAATTCTGCCACTTTTTTTGACAGTGACCATGCTTGTGTATGTGATAGCCTTTTGAAAAATTTCAAA